ATCGACGTTCCGGACGCGTTGGCGTAGTCTGTTTTGTCATACAGAGTCGTCTAGAGAACCTCGTCGACGATAGGGACAAAAACGCATCGCGACCCGAATTACATCAAAAACTCGGCTCGAGCTCAATCAAATAGGACGGCGAAAAGCGCGACAGCACCAGATCAACGCGTACAGTCAATCATAGGGCTAACGGTCCTATAGGAATGCTTCTTGAGCTTCCTCATAGTAGCCCCACCTACTAAATGCTAGAGGTCAAAACTACTATGCGGAACTTCAAGTTGAGCGAAGAAAAGCTCGTAATTTATAATGGAAAGGGCTCCTTTGCTAGTTTTCTAGGAATAGTCGACAGGAAAGTCCTACGGCTAGACCCTAGGCTATTAAAAATGAGAGACTAGGCCTCAACCAAAAGTGAGGTCAACAAGGAGGAAGGGAGGTTGGCAAGGGTCATAGAAGGAGTTGTGGCTAGGAGTGATCGGGCTGCAATTGCAACGTGAAGCAAGTTATAACGGGGGATGGTTATATGGAGGAGGGAATTTGGTAAGGAGTTACGGGTATAGGGAAGAGGTGGTCTACAGGAGGGCTTGAGGTATCCAGCAGGGAGGAGGAGTCGCACTCTGGGATCGTAGAAAGATGACTGCACCAAGTCTGGGAGGTTGTTGGTTGCAAGAAGCTGCTAGGAGCGGGGGTTGGCGACGGAAAGGAAAGGGGTAGGTTGTTTTCGAGGGAGATAATCACCACCGGGGGGAGGGATAAGTCAGAGCACCACCCTTAACATTAAATATAGCCCTCGAGAGGAGAATAGGGCGTCGGTGACTGTCCTCACAAATTGAAATCGGAAAATATATAAGCTGAGAGAATAGTACAGCAAGCACATATATAAATAGAAAATGAATAGGCGGAAAAAAATAAGGGGGGAAATTGCCGCCCAATGAAAAGAGGAAGGAGAGAACAATTCATCCCGTACCTCTTGTTGAACCGGGTTGGACCAGTTCAGCCCCTAGCCCCCACGTCAAGAACTTTTAAAATGAAGTGGTAAAGCCATCAAAGCTTGGTGTGTGATTGGGCACCATTTCCAATATAGCATTCTAGATTTCCCCATTGGTAACATTTGACGTGAGCTGCTCAAAATGACCTTCAAGACAAGCTTGATTCTGCAAAGGAACAGCCAATCCACTAAGTCGATAGGGGACACCTTCCACTTGGTGGCAAAGAATCCATGCAAGTTTACTAGATAAGCTTTTGATACCCTGTGTACGTATCGTCCGCTGGCCTATTTTTCTTCAAGTGGTGACTATCTAACTTAAAAAGGACAAGTGGTGGATCCTCTTCGTCATCCATAATCACTGTCATTATTCGCCCTGCAGTTTTCAGACTGAACAACAGCTAAATGACTTCAACCCTATAGCAAACTCCAACAATTTTACATAATCCCATTCTCTTGCCATATTACAACCTCTACTCACCAAATCCGATCCTACAACACTTTCTAAGAATCCTATAATGGTGTTAGTAACTTATCACAAGAATTATAGATCACAAACTGAAAACTTTACAACATTAAGATCAAATAGTTGATAGAAAAATATGTAATTTAGTTTCATTTAGTATTGTTATGATGTGATGTGCTTCTATTGCGAAGTTAAAGTGGATAATTATGTTGTAGAATTCCTAAGAAGTTATATAAAAATGATAAAAGGTTGGAAAAAATCATTATGACATTGATACGAGTGTTCGTGAAATTAAAATAATTATTGCATTTAAATTTCATATTATTATAATGTGATAGACCAATTAAAATTAGAAGAAAATTAGTTTAAAATGAGTTTATTTATTATAAAAAAATTTTACTAGAAGACCATCTAAACCAACCATTATAAGAAAACTATTTTTCAACTTTAAACTAGTTGAACTTTTTTCTCATAGTAGCTAAATCAAGCACTATAATTTTTTTCTTGTTTTTTTTTTTTGCAACACCGCAACACCCGATTTTAACCATTTAAAGGCATACTCTAAATTTTGTATCCCTCATAATTCAACCCAAGATATGTAAAAAATTATTATATGTAAAATCAATCAATTTGACATATAGCACCAAGCATGAATTTTAAAGGTGTGAGAGGATATAAAATTATAAAGTTATAAGTTTAATGAAACTTAATTATAATTTCCAACCCTTAATCCTGTCATTATTCCCATCTGACCTATTTCGCAACAAGCAACCATGAGAATGGATCAAACGATTGAGATTTAACGAGATTAAGTTAAATTGCCACATTTCATTTCATTATCCCCTCCAACTCACTTCATTTTCCCGCGCTTGAAGTTCATGTAGTAGGGCGAGCCGCACAACCCGTAGAGAGCCGCAGGCAGCATTTTAGGGTTTCCGAGGAGAAATTGAAAGATAGGAAACCCTCCATTATGATATTCCACATTTTTTTCCTTTCTTAAATTTTCGTTTTGACATTTGCTATGAATTAAAGCATTCTCTGTGATTCCTTTTACTGTAGCTAGGCGATAACGATTGCAGAGCTAGTGAACCATGAGTTACACTCTCAACTAGGTCCAATTTTACTGGTGGCAAGGAAATAGAAAAGGGGAAGGGAGGAAGGAAAGTTATATTCATTCTTAAATCATGAAATGAGCCAAGAGTTCATAAAATCCTGAGATGCTTATAAATTTAAGGTTATTTACACTAAGCAACATGCTCGAGGCGAGCTTCAGAAAACTTGTCGTAGGTTTGTTCCATCAATTCAGGTAAAATAGTCCGGTGTTAACTTAAGAAAAATAAATCTGTAGATTTTTATATGATTATGTGTTTAACAGTATTGCATTTAGAATTTTATGCATATTGCGGATGAATACATGCATAGACTGTATTAATGCAAACTTGATTATCATTCACAATAACAAGAATTTTACCATGTTAAGAATCTGATAAAATTGTTTATGAAATCATTCATTGCTTGCGGATATCTATTTATTATGACTCATGGATATGCTATATAAAATGCCTATCATGAATACTTGTTATAGGAATTATAATTTAAAAAAAATGTCACAAGTGATGTTATGGTATGCAACTACATGGATACATGCAAGTATGGATGAAATAAAATCATTGGATTCCCTACTCGTGATATTCAGACAGAGACAAAACTCCGGGAATCATTGGGATCAGAAGGCAACGTTACATAGAGAATCGTCGGTATCAGTGAAGCTATTCATAACTATGTTAGAGGTTCAACAATATCAATAATTGATGTAACTTTCAGACTGAGTGATGATCCATAACATGACAAGATATAGAAATAGTTGAGGTTTATACAATTAAAAATCACAATATTATGATTAGATTGATGAGTTTTACGAATATGCTTATGATTATACATGAACAGATGAAGTACATGTATTGTATAGCAGTCATGATATCCTGCATTACATTTTTTTGTGACATGTGTTGTAGACATATATATAGATTACATATGAGCATGCACATTATTTCTTTTTTGTCTCTAAAATCTTATTTTAAACTTGATTATTTCGTTAAGCTCCTTGCTGCTCACTCTTCGTTGCTCACTTTCATAAAGGGGTAAAGAATACCAGGCAGATATTTAGCTGACTTAATACAGCTTTTGCAAGTCATAGTCTTAAAAGTCAGTACAAACTTTTGGGTAAGAACTTTTATTATATTAGATTTAGCAGATCTATATATATATA